GTCGACCATGCTCGGTCTTTACGTTTACGCTCACGCTTTACATTTACGTTTTGCGAAAGTACTATATGTGTTTACGGCGTACATAGCATGCCAGCCAGAATCCACCTCACCCTCGGTAAGGGCAAAGACGTGGTGGAACAAAAGGCCGTTCCAGAAAGCAGAATCTGCATAATCTGCCTGCCCCAGCGCATCTGGCTGCCCCCCGGACTCCCTGAGTCTACATATACTGTAGTTAGGTGCTCTGGGTGAAAATTTGCCTATTTTATGGCATTTACGTGTAAATACGCGTTTACGCATGTACAAATGCTCAGTGTTTGCGCAGTAAAGACCAAGAATGGTGTCGACCAACTGCTGGGCCAGGCGCGGATTTGTCGCATTCCAAACTGGCTGATCGTCAGATTCGGGATTCTGCAAATCCTCATCGCGCTACCACGGCAATGTTGGCTGAGCAGCCGGATTGTGAGAATGAGAGCCTTCGCGACGTCCATTTTTTTCAGAAATGTTGGTGATAGTCAGGTTTGTCATTTGTGCCATAGAAATTGAAAACGTTTTTACGCGTCAAATAGTATTTACGTTTTTCCTTGTCAAAGGCCTAAACATACGTAAATACAGTACAAATACAGCCCCGCATACATACAGACAGTGCACACAGAATTGCGGAGTGCGGGAGTGGCAGCCAGGCGCGGAGTGGGCAGAAAACGAACGCTTGTTCGGTGACGTCGCTGCCCTTGCCGAGGGCGAGGTGGACGCCATGTTCCATGTGCTCCAGGCGGAGAAGGACTGATCATGGCACGCGACTTGCATCGTGTAAACTGGTGTCCGCAAAATAGCGCCTTTTGCAAATTTCGCGTTAAACGCGTAAAAACGTAAAATTGAACGTAACAACAAGCCTGATTAAATGCAGGAAGAAGAAAAGCAAATGGTGAAATGCCACTGAGAAACGCAGTTGACATTACACTACTAGGTATCTTTTAGCCAAGGCTCATTTGCAAACAGTGAGGCGTAAACTTTACTGTCTAAACAGTTTAGTTTAAACGGCTCACAGCGTAAGCCGTGTGGCGCAACCAGTGGTGCAAACTCTACACGCTGGTACGCGATTTTGGGCAGTTTAACTCTGTGGCAGAGCGCACGGAAAGTGTATGAGATTTCTAGCCTTTAGCAAAATTTCAATGGACTTTGTCTTTGACACACAGTGCGCCAGCAAAGCGTACATGCGACGTGCGAATTTGCGAAGCACGTGCACGAAGCGCAGCTTCGTGAATTGCCATGAGACAATATGAAACGCCTGGCCTAAAGACGGTCAACGTGTGATTATATGTCGGCAGCGGCTGCACCGTCTGAGGTCTTACGGGTGACAATGCAACCATGTTGCAACACATTGCCGCTTAAGTTCACCAGAGCGCCAACTGGTCAAATGCGCATTTGACGTTTGCATGCAGCCAGCACTGCGTTCCCCCTATCCTTCGCTACCATCTGTAATTTTCGTAGAAATTGATGCACGTAGTGTGCAGAGAATCATTAATATAAAGAGGACTAACGCTGCAGCAAGGCCACTGTATCAGCATGGTCGCAGCGTTGGGGTAGGTATCAACACTGGTCAAGCTGGACAGGCCATAGTATATCAAGCCCTTCCATATTCTGAAACTCAGCGTTACGATTTTTTGCTCCGCATCTTTTTGACAGAGCGTCATTGATTTCTTTTTGATCTGCGCATCGTGTCCGGCGGTCGCAGTGTGGGCAAAACAAAATGGTGACAAAGATTTATGTGGATTTTACAAAAGGCTCCTACCGCGCGCGCACCGTGCTGCCAATGCCAGGGGGCCACAAAGCGGTTAGCAGCGGAACGTTCTGCCTGTCCCTGGCTCTGGGGACGATCCGCAAGAACCTCAACAACCCGTCGATTGAGCGACTCATGTATCTGAGGCCTCCAGACGACGCGAGCAGCCCTGGGACACTGGCGTTGCGGCTGGCGCCGTTTGGCCACTGCAGGGTGATATTCAGATGGCCTTTGAGTGCAGTGCTCATTTCTCCAGCAGCGCGAGAACTGATTTCATAACAGCGGTTATTGCACTGATCCCCTTTGGGTATTATGCCGAGGGTTCGACACGAAATACAGTAATCAAGATCAGAAGGTTCCCGAATTTCCAGGCGGCTACGGCGGATCTGGCGGTACATTATAACGTCGCGCCAGATCCGCCGTAGCCGCCTGGAAATTCTACTTCCCAACTACGGGGAACGGACCTACTGGGAACGGGGATCCTCAGTCCCTGTTCTCGTAGCCACGCAATGACCGCCAATTCACAGGGTGGATCGATAATGTGTTATAGGTAGCAATTGCTTTTCGTTTCAAAGGTTGCTTGCTTTTGCATGGGATGACCCGAGCTAACCGCAAATACAAAATTGTTTACAATGTCCATAAAATTTGATGCAAAGCCGGTCCCATTTAGCCTGACTTGGCTCATGGGACGTACTTTTCATCCCACTCATGTTTGCACTGGGCAACGTGAATTTTCATGGATAACGCTGTTCATGAGAAAATGCTTTAGTCAGGGCACCTTGTCCGCAAGAAATGTTGTGGAGAAGTTGCGACTGTGTTTCACACAACTTTGCAGTTCCCTGTTGCTTTTGACTATTTATCTTTGCAAATATCTTTGAAGCTTGCCAGTTACTATAGGAACGACCTGAATAATCGGAAATGCAATGTTTAACTGGGAAGTTAAAGTTGAGCGGATGGACATCTCTTCATATTCTTGGCTCACCAATTTGTTTTGGTGATTGTGGAGGTCGATGTTCTAGTAGCCCATACCCAAACTGGATTGTGAGTGAATGGACGTCTGTAACGTGTTCTGCACTTGGCTGTGTGCTGAGTTAACATATGGTTGACCAGCATGATAGGCGTTTGTTATGATGTGGATCCCGTGGATACAATCGGCAGGCCGGTTGTTTCGGGAGGAAAAATCTGGTCGCGTTCCGCGACACCGTTGGCAAGGTGTGTAGGCAGTGTTCGAAACTTACGTCAGAAGAGCACATACTTAAGCCTGAGGCAGTGTGCGGGAGACTTTGAGAGGGCGCCGAGCGTGGGTGGCGTCCGCGCTTCCTGTGAGTATTTTAAGGTAGCGGTTTGAGTCATCGCTCAACCGGCAAACGTCAACAATCCCTCAAAAGTATTGCAAATTTTGCAGTAATCGGAAATCATTGATCGGCATACAGACATGAAGGGCCGCACTCACCCTTGCCAGCCTTCTACAGGCCTTATTCTGTCCTGCCTCGGTGTGTTATCGTATCATTCATTGTCATCATCTCCACCTTGTGCATGCACCATGTACGCCATGTAAGTTTTATCTCCTTGTCACATCGGATGTTCTCACACTAGCAGTACTGCAGTTGTACCGTGGGTGCCATAATACAATAATGACTCATCGTGCAAGGCAGCGTGGAATCAACAACTTCAGTTTGCTGAGCGCACGCCAGCTCCAGTGGAAGTGTGGGAGGATGCAATCCAGTCAAATCCCTCGGATGTAATGTTTCTTGGCCAAAAGGGAATGGCAAATTTTGCCTAACGAACTGGAAGGCATGTCCATTCAAACGGACAAAGGCTTATCCCTCCACCATGGCGCCTCAATCCATCGTGCTTTGCGGACACCCGCTGCCAAACACTAGTAAAAAACAGGCCAGATGACACAGTCCTGACACAGTTTGCTCAAAATCCAACCGTGTACGTTCGGCAAATGTGGTCCCAAAAGTACACATTTAGTACACACATTATCACAGTTTAAACCGTGCATCTTAGGAAACCGTGTAGTACACACGGTTGTTTGAGGGTACACGGTTGAAACTGTGTCAATGTGTGTACTAAGTTTGTAACTTTGGGAGCACATATGCCGAAAGTACACGGTTGGATTTTCAGCAAACTGTGTCAGGACTGTGTCATCTGGCCTATTTTTTCCTAGTGAAAGGACCTCAGCGGTCTCGGTTGGAGAGGGTGCCGCTGCAATTGAATGCGCGTAGCGGTGTGACGCAGAACGGCATGGAAAAAGCGGTCGATCACACTTTCATAGGACAGGATCAACGTTTGATCATCAAACGCTTTGGCTCGACCTCTGTTGCGGCAATGTTTGTTCCGACAAGCAGCCAAGAATTAGCTCAAATTATCTTGAAACAAAACCAAGAAGCCACGAACGATACTTTGGATCTCTTTGAACACCATTGCACGCTTCTTTTTCGTCCACCAGAATTCACACTCGGAACGGCAGCCTCAACTCACATTTCTCTCAATGCATAACACGCTAACCCACATCACGCGCCCATAGCATCGACCCACAGCGCCAATTCACAGAAACTCACCAGACCTAAATCGGCAGCAGTGAAGCTGATCGTTGGGCAGCCGTCCTCCCACTATCTCGATCAGGTCGACGAGTGAACAATATGTCAGCAAGCATGTGACTGGCTGATTACTGTGGTTTTCTCTCGTGTCAGACTTTCCTCCCTTTATCCTGATTCCCAACTCTGTATACACTTTCATCATTGATATTCAGAGCCCACCAGTATGTAGCCACCGACCTGCAGCTATGAAAACTGGAAAGTTGACAGTTAAACATCGAGACAGAGCGACAGCAATGTAATCAAGTCGTTGATGGCATTCATTGGAATAGGATTCTGAAATGCCACGATTCAGTTTCAATCATCGGATTACCAACTGCTAATTGATGGAGCCAGGTTAGTGGTCAATTACCGGTAATTTCTAACATCCACCAGGATCATTTCCTCTTTTGCCCCCGGCGGCAAAAGGAAGTTCAATTAAATGTATGAAACACCACACACCAAGGCAAGGTAGTAGCCTGACAAAGGGATTTCAACCAACCTACCAACCAACAATATCACCGCATATTAATGTGCCACTGCAGTGAGCAGTAACTCCGTAGTGCATTGCAACTACAACTACAACCGTAGTATTTTGTTGCTAAGTCCAGTGAGTCCCCCGCCCCCAGTCGTCCCCAGCAATGCCCCGCAGGGCGTCGAAGCGGAAGCGCAAGGAGGCGGCCGCCCGGGTCGGTCGCGCCAAGCGCCCGAGGCCCTCGGCCCAGGACACCGCGGCGGACCTCCTCAGCGACGATCTTCTGGGGCGATTCGGAGATGGGGACATTGCCTGCGTGCTGCCCGGCGGGAGGGGGAAAGCGGAAGGGGCAATCCCGCCGCCGGGCGCCGCGCCCGAGACGAGCGGCGCGGACAAGGGGAGCAGGCGACGCGAGAAGGCGGAGAGGCGGAAGCTGCAGCAGATCGAAGCCAAGAGGGAGCGAGCTGCACAGGTGGGTACAGGCCCAATGGCATGCCAATCCCGTCCTGTCGCCCCATAATCGCGCATCCGAGCAGTGGGAGGGAGTTCTGTCCGAAGTACTGAGCCCTTGCCAGGAGGACAGGTCGTATCGCTGCACTCTGAGGGGAATCTTGTCATACAGAGGGGCGCTCCTTCAACGGAAGTGTGCATGAGGCTCTGTGCAATGCTGTGGAAAGGCACGGAGACGGCTCTCCAAGAGTCTCTCCAAGCGGGAAGGAAAGCAAACGATCACCACGAGGAGGGAAAAATCCAGGAGCGCAGGCCGGCCATGCCAAAAGTTGGACCGCGCGTTTCGATTTGGCGTTCTGACTTGTTTGACTGTTTGATTGCTTGTCAGGTTGGCAGAGCGCTGGCGGACCTGCAGGTGCACGCGGTGGCGCCCGAGGCGCTGGCGCTGCTGCGGCCCGTGCACCTGAGGGGCCATCGGGAGACGCGGCGGCAGAGGCTGGAGATGGCGGCGCGGCTGAGCCGGGCGGGCCTGCCGGTGCCGGACGGATGGGCGGGGCACCGGAGAGGGCCGGGGGTGGAATCGAGCGACGAGGAGAGCGACGATGAGGTCGGGAATGAGAAGATTGTTAAGCCTGGGATGGATGGCGACAAGGCGCGAGATGGGGGTAATCTGGCGGTGGAAGAAGGATCGGGAGGTGGATTAGCGACTATGGAGGCTAATGGGAATGACGGCATTGGGTTTGGACATGGTGTGCGAGCTGGATCAGCAGCTGTGGAGGCTAATGGGATTGATGGCAGTTGTTTTGGAGCTGGGGGAGGAGATGGCGGTGAAGCGAATTTGGGTGAGAGTGGGAGTGAGGAATGTTCGGAAGGTGCCCAGGATTGGGGCCTGGAGGACATCGAAGAGGCTAAGGCACGCCGCACGGAGGTGTCTGACAGCGAGGAGGGGGGCGACGGGCCTTGTAAGGGGATGGCGCTGCCGGTTGGCCCCCACCGGGTGGTGCACGTGACAAGGCCACCAGAGGTGGAGGAGGCGAGGATGGGGCTGCCCGTGGTGGGGGTGGAGCAGGAATTCATGGAGGCGGTCACTCACAACGATGTGGTGGTGGTGTGCGGGCAGACGGGCTCAGGCAAGACCACGCAGGTGCCACAGTTCTTATATGAGGCTGGGTATGGGTGTAGGGACTTCCATGAGAGAGGGGGCGCGATTGGCATCACACAGCCTAGGAGGGTGGCTGCCACCAGCACTGCTAAGAGAGTTGCCCATGAGCTGGGGACCCAGGTCGGCGACCTGGTTGGCTACCAGGTATGCATATAAACGTGTTGCTGGCTCGGTAGAAAGACAACCTTCACTTAACATGGCATCCCAATGTTGTGAAAATCAAGCCTTACTGTGGTTCATGATTCGTACACCCTTGAAGTTGCACCTGTCTGGCCTCTGTTGCAGGAAGCTCTTCACAACAAGGATGCAACAGTTGGAAATCTGCAGTTTGTTGATACAGGGTTCGTATCTTTGCACTGAATTCATGGTCAAGCTTCTCCTGTACACAAAGAGTACATCTGTCAATCTTGCATTTGGTGTTCTCCATGTTGTCTGTGCTGTTGCCTGGTTTGCCCAATGCCCATTCCTGCCGCCGTATCTGCAACTGTGCCCCCCCCCCCCCCCTTCTCCCTCCCCCTGTTTTCAATCACTTTGCCTTTGGAGAAGCCAGACAGAGACAAAGGATCTATTTGTTGCATTTGCAGGTTCGCCATGACCGATGTGTCGGCACCGGGACAGCCATCAAATTCATGACTGATGGCATTCTAATGCGTGAACTCCAGCATGACTTCCTCCTTCGAAAGTACAGCGTTCTGGTTGTGGATGAGGCCCACGAGCGCAGCCTCAACACTGACCTCCTGCTGGGGATGCTGTCCAGGATCGTCCCACTCAGACGAAAACTGGCGACAGGGGCTTCTGTCGAGGGTAATGTTGACAGTGAAGTTGGCAAAGTGAGCGATGGTAAGGAGGATATAACACCCCTGAAACTCATAGTGATGAGTGCCACACTCTGCATCGAAGACTTCACTGCCAACACCCGGCTTTTCCCAACAGCCCCTCCTGTCATAAACGTTTCAGCCAGGCAATACCCTGTCACAGTGCACTTCAGCAAGAAGACGGAGATGGTTGACTACGTGAGCGCTGCCTTTCGCAAGGTATGCAGGATCCACAGAGAACTGCCTGCCGGGGGTATTCTGGTGTTCCTGACTGGGCAGAGAGAGGTGGAGCACATGTGTGAGCGTCTCCGAAGGGCCTTCAGCAGCAAGGGCAGGGCGTCTGCTGGCAGGGATCGCGGCAAAGCACAGAATTCTGGCCCCGGTGGTGTGTTTAAGGATGAGATGAGGGATAGGAATGAAGATGAAGCTTCTGGTGGTGGGAACAATGGCAACTCTCAGAGCTTGGAACCTGTTGGGGCGTCCAAGGACGAAGTCGAACTTGAGGGCGAGGGAGAGAAGGACAGCAGCAGTGATGGCTCCGATTTTGAAGCTGAGCAGTATGGGGCGGATGCTGTGGAAGCTTTGAGGGGGCGTGGTGTGGGCGACCACTGGGGTGGCGATGTGGAGGATGATGTTGACGACTATGAGAGCAACGAGGAGGAAGATGAGGATGAAGAAAAGGTCCAGATCCTGGGCGGGGAAGACGTGACGCCTGAGGAAGTCACAGCCCTGGAAAAGGCGTTTGAGGAGCGCTTTGGACTGCAGGCTGCCGGAGAGGCCATTTCAGAGGCGAGGCACAAGCCAGTAACAGTGCTGCCGCTCTACGGACTGTTGCCAGCGTCCAAACAGGCAAAGGTGTTTGAAAGTCGTAGCGATGGCTCCCGACTGATCGTCGTCGCCACAAACGTGGCCGAAACCTCGATCACGATCCCTGGCATTCGGTACGTGGTGGACAGCGGACGGTCGAAGCAGAAGATCTTGGAGCCTGGGGGAGGTTCGGCTCGCTTTGAGGTTCGGTGGGTGTCCAAAGCGGCGGCGGACCAACGGGCTGGACGAGCAGGGCGTACTGTCCCTGGACACACCTACCGTTTGTATTCTTCTGCCCACTTCAATGACACGTTCCCTCAGCACACACCTCCAGAGGTGCTCAACACTCCACTGGAGGGGGTTGTGCTGCTCATGAAATCGATTGGTGTGAACAAAGTCGTTAACTTCCCCTTTCCGACGCCCCCTGATGAGACTGCACTGGCGTCAGCCGAGCGGGCGCTCACAGCTCTGTGTGCCCTGGACCCTGGGAAGGGCAGAATCACCGAACTGGGGCGGAAAATGTTGGCCTATCCCCTCAGTCCCAGGCACTCACGGATGATTCTGGAAGCCTCGAAGCTGGATGGGGAAACAGGGGGGCAGGTGATGACCTATGCCATTGCATTGGCAGCAGCAATGAGCGATGAGAGCCCATTTGTGCATATTGAGAGCATCGGCCAGGAAGGGGGTGTTCAGGCTGGGGTGACACCTGCTCAGGCACAGCTCCAAGCAGCAGAGAAGCGGAAACATGCTCGCGCCTTGCACGAACAGTTCAGGTGTGAGGACAGTGATGCTGTGGGCGCGCTGAGAGCCCTGTGTGCATATGAGCGGGCAGGATGCAGGGAGGACTTCTGCAGACGGAACTTCATGCACAGCCGAACCCTGCATGAGATGGCTGCCCTGCATCGCCAGCTGATGAGGGACCTGCTGAGGCAGCGGCTACCAGGTTCCGAGGGCCTCATGGGCGATGCGGTTGGGGGCACTGGCCTCACGAACCTTATGGCTAAAGGCATTGGCCTCAAGGACCCTGCTGGACGGATCCTGATCTGCCTGAAGAAGGCCATTGCTGCGGGGTGGTGTGACCGGGTTGCGAGGCGTGTCCGGTCTGTGGAGTACCTCAAAAGGCTGAGGGAGGAGGGCAGGGCTGTGCGTGCTGTGCGGTACCAGTCCTGTGGCGTTGAAGATCTCATCTACATGCACCCCCGCTCAATGCTTCGCCACAGGTGAGAATGCTTAAGTCGCTTTCTTGTTCCAGAGTGCTGCTGCATAAGTGACGCCCAGGTGCCGCCTGCTCTAACAGAAGCAATGCGGGTCTATGCTGCCCACACAGAAAGTGCAAGGCGATGCAAAGGCCCCGGAATGTGTGGGCTGTTGTCTTGATCCGAATGGAGTATCAGCACTGGATGGTGTTGTCTTGCCATCCCGTGCTGCTAGATCTCTGCATTGGTTGACATGTTCGATTGTTGGCCCCAGAAGGGGGTATTTTCTAGCCGCAATCGTGCATGCAATTGCAAGAGCCTGCAGTGAGTTGCTGTCAGACCACATCAGTGCGCAGGCGTTGTCCTTTACTCTGTCACATGCAGAGCCAAGACTGGCGCCTTTCCTGTCACTGATGCCATCCGCTGGGCTTCATTTCTTTCAACTGAAACGAGGCGACATGCGCTTGGACGTTTTTTGCTCCAGTGCCATGTGATGTGACTGCCTGCAATCAGTGCAAGGTCTGTTTGACACTTTGCTGATGCTGCGGCAGGGTGCCAGAATTCGTGGTGTACACTGAAGTGCTGAGCAGCAAGAAGCGGCCGTACATGTCATGGGTGACGGCTGTGGATCCCTCGTGGCTCCCAGAGATCGGCACGCCCCTGTGCGGGCTGTCGGAACCCCTGGACGACCCTGCCCCCTTCTACACTCCCCAGCGGGACGCAGTAATGTGCTACCGGACGCCAAAGTACGGGCGCCTCGAGTGGGAGCTCCCCCCAATGGCCTGCCCCCACCCAGATCCCGAGCAGCGAGCATGCCACTTCGCGGTGGCGCTGCTCCAAGGCAGGGTGGTGGGCGGCACTGGGCTGTTCTCAGGCAACCTCGTGGTGCCGGCGGCCATGGCCACGAGGCCGGAGACACGTTTTCATGGACAGCTGGGCAGGCTGGTGGAGCAGCTGGCCAGGCACCGCGTGGGGAGCTTGAAGGGCCTGAGGGAGCGGTGGGCGGTGGAGCCCGCGTTCCTTAAGGAGGAATTGAGGCAGTGGCTGAGGAAACAGTGCAGGGGCATGCTGGATGGCTTGTGGGGCTCATGGACACATAACTTGGCGTAAAACGCTGTTGATCTATTTATTGGTTTGCTGTACCGTGGATTTTTTGAATTGTTTGCATGGCCATTTAATTTAATATGGTGGTTTTTGTTCTTGACTCCTCAGCATGGCATTGCGGTCTGGCCGACCATTGCGTCGGCATGACACAGAACAGGCATCAGATGGGCTGTGGGCGGCCTGCTGAGGATGTTTGCCCAGCAACCCATGAGAGGATTTGATTTGTACGTCTGCTGCGCTGCTGATGCCAGCACGTGGTAGCTCCGTCACGCGAGTGCATCAGCAGCGAAAGAAACTCATCCTGCAAATTGTGGAAGTCTGATCTGGGATTGAGCGGTGAAACCCATAGCCCCAAACATGCGATTCTATGGCACATCGCGTGGTGGCAGCAGCCACCATAAGCATATTCATCCAGAATGCAGGCCACAAGAACTGTTGCTGCAGATTGTTTTGGCCTCGCGATTTCCTCTGCATGAAGAGCGGGGCACGTGTGTGCGGCGTAGTCGCCATGTGCTCACCGCTGTGCGCCAGAAATCTGCCTGGACTGCCGCAGTCCAAGCTTGCGTGCACATGCGTCAGCAATCGTCATGGCTCGTCAGGACTTCTCCCCAATCGCAATGCAGAAAAACATACCCCCCACACCCCCCTCCCCGTCCGACTGGGCAGTGAGCGGGGCTTTGGGATGTGCTGATTGTTCATCTTTTCTTCTCTTTTTCCACTGATGCTGGTAGAAAAAAAAAGACGGCCATTCGTTTTGGATTGCAGGAAGTAAAATGCTCCGCTCTTCCTCACCAGGCGCCCCGATCCACACCTGTTGAGGTTAATTACACCTCAGCATTGTCTGGCGTGGAAGGAATACTTTCAGCCCAATCTTGCCGGGTTTGTCGAGGCATTACAAGTAACGCGAAGAAATGCGAGAAAGAAGAATTCGTGCCGGGCTGGAGACCGGCAGTCGCACCGTTCCACAGGGCCCGAACAAAGCCGCAGTACTTTGGGCGGAGGCGTCAAGCCCCAGGACTTAATGGTCGGATCGGGCCGGGAGGCCCAGACAATGGCAGTACTTTGTCGCAGGATCAGGCCCGCGGGCCCCAGACGGCGACGGCCGGCGCGGCGCCGTCATGCTCGCTGCGGACAGTGTCGCTGGACGGTCCCAAGGCGCGAGGCGCTGGGGCCGCGGTGGCAGCTTCCTCATCTTTGAGGCTGGGCGGAAGCGGCCAACCCATCGGGGGCGCGTCCGGCAATGTCGGCCGCGGGCATTGTTGAAGCCGGTGCGTTCCGCGCCAATGTTCGTCGTCGTGGTGATTTGGAGGATCGGGGCCGCCAGATTTGAGTGCGTCTTGCGGGGAGAGTCGGTGGGAGGGTGGGAAAGGAGAGCATTTGGACGGGTGGGCGATTGGGTGGGCCGCGATGGAGTCGCAGTTTCCAAGAGGATATCGGGCATTGACAGAGCGAGCCGCATTCGGATGGATCTGTCAATGAATGAACCCATTGCTGCAACAAGGGAAGTGACACACTACTGTGGTACGTATCTCTGTTGAGTTAGATCATCAGACAGCATCTGTTCCACTGGCGGTTTGCCTGTCCATCAAAATGCTTCTCACAATTGCATCCCTGGCTGCGTCAGAAGGTTGTTGACGCAAAAGAAGAAGTCTCAAACGAAGGGCGTCCTCATCCTGAGGGAGTTGCCTGATGCTCGTGCTGCAAGGGTGGTGTAGAAATCTGCCAGTGCAGCGCGGCAAACCAAGTGCCGGGGTGCAATTTTATGGGGAAGATGTTGCAATTCATCCACCAATGGTGATGACGCTTTGTTTTGCGACTGAACTGACGTGATAGGGTTGGACAACAGATCCATCTTACTGTAAATGTGCCTTCAATTTTGTAGAGATGCCTAAAGAGCTGAAATGGAGCATGTCGACAGCGAGGGAATATCCTGGGTGTTGTTGTGACTTTGCTGAACTGTTATTTTAGGTCTCAGATTTGTCATGTCGCCAGTTTCCATCATGTTCCAGGTTTTTTTTGTCGTCAGTTTGTTGTGCAAACCTCGGAATTGCCATCTCAGCACAGAGTTTTAGCTTACCGCCACAATGGTCACCGTTCTGGACACATGGCTCAATGCCCCATCTTCTCTTCTCCCTTCATTCACCGTAGCTCAGTTCATTGTTCCACATGCCCTCGAGTTGTACAACGCGCGCTTTCGCATCATGTTTCACATCACATACTGCAGTTGACGCAGTCAGCATAAACGCTACACTGCCATGCCAGACAGGGCACATTATGCAGCTTGTGTGAGCCAGTTCTCGCCAACCAACAAACTAGCCAAGATTCAAACCCATGCATTGAAATTCTGAATCAAACTCCCCAAGAGTGAATGCCATCATTGTAAAGCGCAGTGGTGTTTGATGGGTGAAATGTCAGGCTGTCGACTTGCAGTTTTGTGTCTTGCCCAGGCACCAGATGTGCCTGTGAGTTGGGGGCAGGACACAGTCGAGGTTTGGATAAAGGTGCCAATTGAGGAGGGCATCAGAGGTCGAGACGTCAATTTTGAGCTGCACCCCACCAGAATGAAGCTGGAGGCTGCGGGGAAGACCATGCTGCAAGGGAACTTCAGCGAAGCTGGGAAAATCAACTTGGACGGTGTGCATGTGTTGAGAAGTGCTTGGCAGTAATCAATCTCTATCCAACTAAAACACCCTATCGTACCAGAGTCCACGAATCCAAACATGGGTTGTGCCCTTACCACATTTCAGTAGTAAATGCCTGCTGACAGCAACAGAAGCCAAACAAAATACTAGGAGGTCTATGCTTAGGCGACCACTCAACATGAATGTGCTCATGGTAGAATAAAATGGAAGCAAACAGATGCAAAGCCCCTGCAATGGCTCCCTGGCTTCTTGGGAAGAAACCCACTAATGGTGGTTCCATCTTTGCAAAACAACCCAGGCAGGTCACACTACCACATGCCCTAGCCACACGGCATTGCCAACCAGTTTCACAGCACAAAGCCAGCCACCCCAATAAAAGCTACTCTGCCGGCACTGAAGACACCAGAGCTACTGCTGCCGAACATCCGTGTGTGTGAGGGCGGATGCGTTCACTCAGGAGGGGATGCCCAACGCGCAGCATGCTTCTTTGCTGCCAGGAAGTAATTTGCACAAGTGCGTGAGAAGAGAACTACCCTGACATGCAATGGGCTAGGGTGGGAGCTGGTCGTATGCACCGGTGGTGTATTGTTTAGATCGAGCTTGAATGTTAGAAACTGAAATAACTGCCATGCATTCAACCATCCCCCGCCAACAAAAAATAGTGTTAGCCCTTGGCGCGGCAGTGATGCTACCGCTCATCAGATTGCTAGGAGGTACAACACTGAGGAGCATTGCGTCTCTGGCTTGTACCAAGCTATTCCAATATATCTGTGATGGGGGATTACAGTGAAAATGAGCCAGTGAAATCTGCCCCAAACCGAAGGACATAGTCAATTTGCATGTTGAGGGTGTGTGGCACCCACTGCCCTTCTTGCCATTCAGTGATGTTTTCCCCAGTCTGGTGAAGCTGACAGCCAAAGAGCGTTATGCTGTGTGGTCAAGTCGAACACGATCCACGCTGGCGATTCTAGTACTTCCTCTGTCCCAAATTAATTGTTCTCCTTGGCTTGGGCACAATACATCTCCATCACAAAAGATTTGTTTTTCGTATCATCAGATGTTATGGCCATGAGCTTTAAATTTACACATGCCAAGTCAAAACATTTATACTGTGGATTCGGCTGCACTTTTAGTTGAGCGTTCCTGGCCAGAAGTTTCCAATTTTGACATCGCTGCAGAAGCGGCCGTTTTGTGATGGTGATGAGTGCACACCTTTCTCTGTGGCGAAACAAAGCTGCCAGTACGGAACTATCCACGCCTGCGGCAACAGCTTCGCCTTGCCACATGCAGGGACAGGAGCGGCCAGATCCACGGGGACATCTAGTAGGCAGGTGACGTGATTGCGCATTTATTGGCGAGCAAGAAAGTGACTTTGGGAGCTGCTCAGAAACGTTAGGTCCGATTTTATTTCAAAAACTGGCAGTCGGGTTTTGAGACCAAACGAATCTAAATCTGTCCACCATGGTTCAGAGGCATTTTCGTCACAAAATTGCCTGCCACAAATATGGGGCAATTCATTTGGGATGGAGGAAGCATTTGGCCACAGTGTTGTGACTGATAAACAAAACCAGAGACTGCATACCTGCGGATTTAGCTCATGAGAAGCACTGCTGCAGACAGTCGTGCACGACAGGAAGGAACGGGACAGCCAATCCCAAAGTGGGAGTTACTGCAACAAAGTATTGCGAGCTGCAATGACCATCTGAATCATGGAAAAACTGCCACGGAAGCAAGACAAGTGTGCATGATGGCATGAGGCATCCTATTTGTGCTGCCATTTTTTTTGTTTTTGAAACCGTTGTCTGCTCGATGATCAGTGTGAACTAAGCATTACATCAACTAGGAAAGCAGGCTGCCGCTGCAAGAAAATGACGGCAGCATCAATGAGTTTGCATGGCAAGAACCCTGTGTTTGCAGTGGCTAGGCATGTGGTCACGGCGGGCCTTCACCTCCATGATTCTGCCACCACGATATCCGTCTGCCTGGTTTTGTGGCAGGCTAAAGAGCCTCAAACGCCCCCTCACCCCTGTCCTCGCAACTAACTTGTTCACTCAGAGCCGGCGGTGCATCCCCGGTTGCGTTGGCTGCGAGTTGGCGAACCGTTGCCGAGCCGAATGCAATTGGATGTGGGGCAACTTCTGCTCAGAACAGATGCCACCTGCAACGAGTTCTAGGGCACCAACAAATCTGGAAGTTTCAACCTATATTACTTTGTTTCACACGCCACACGATGCTGCAAGGCCAATGCAAGGCCATGTGCCTATGGATTGGAGAGCAGTCTAGGAGAGCGCACCAGCAAAGTTGTTTGGTTGTTGCTCATCGACAACACACGGTCCCCAGGCAGCTTCTGGGACATCGAAGAGGCGGATGGGCAGCGAGTGATCATGATCACGCTGGAGAAGAAAACGATGGGCTACAACAGCTGGAAGCTGCTGCTGGAGTCGGAGCGTATCGACATGTCCGTCACCAGCTGGGTGAGCGGAAAATGCGCCGGACAAGCTCGTACTGACAAACAGGCCTGTGTGGACGCCGGTGGTCGTTACTGCTTCCTTGGCACAAACTTTGCTCACTTGATTCTATAATTTGCCCATTTTGCGCAATTGCTCGCCGTTCGAAACATTTGCAACTGTGTCCTTTCAATCTGTCTGAATGAATGTATCAATGCTGTGAAAAAGCAACTCAAAATTTGAGCAATGCGAAGTGCTGAGGATTGTGTCAGATTTGGACACTGTGCTGAGACGGGCGCAAGGGCTGTATTCCTAAGCGCAATTTCAGTGCTGTGGTCACCAGTGTCGCCCAATCAGATTGCATGTGTAATGAACACCGAACAACATGGCGTCCTCGCCCTGCCCTGGCAGGTCCTCGGGGTGTCTACCAGCCGGAATTCGATTTTCATATTGAGGCAAACAATACCCGCCTGAAACCAAGGGAAAATGCGATTGACTGTAGGTGAACGCGGGGGTGTTGCATTTTGGCGAAACTCACACAGACGTGCCTGACCAGTCGACTGATTCTTAAATGGCCTACACAATGGTCTCGAACACATCCCAATTCGTGGTTCGGGGTGTGCGCCCTCCAGGTGTTCCTTGACATAGAAATGGATGGGGAGGCTGCCGGCAAGATCGTCATCGGATTGTTTGGAAAAGAGGTCCCCAAGACGACTGAGAACTTCAGGCGTCTCTGCACAGGAGAGAAGAAGTCAGATGCAGGCAAGTCCCCTCAATATGTGTGAGTTACGATGCGCCTGATGGCAATTTTGCATTTTGCGCGTTTGTGACGGCCATTCTTCGGCATATCAGACACATGAACACTGCCAAGATTTTGGGCTAGTAATTCTGCTGATCAATTGGGAACTGGGAATTCGCCAATGGCGCGCTTTCACGGTGCAAAGGGCGTGTGGTGCAGGGGCGACCTTGCACTACAAGGGAAACGAGTTTTTCTACATCCTGAAAGGAAAGACTGCGGAGGCGGGGGGCATCGACAAAGATGGCGAACCCCAGAATGAGTCCACATACGGAGGCTTCTTCGAGGTGAGGCTCAATAAGTGTATCCGCAGGACCAATGGAAGACACGATGCAGTGGCTGTGGCACGTGTTTCTACTGACATCAGATCATCCGACAATGTCAGCAAGCTGACAGGTGCTCTGCCGCGGGGCTCTGGTGTCCCCATCCGACGTGGAGCTGATAGTGCAGTTGATGCACTCACGTGCGCATTGTCCGTCCACCAGGCAGTGCAGCGGCCATGTGCGTCAGCGCGGCAAAGCCTTGGATCGGCGGAGCTGTCGATTGGAAACTCCATCTGGACAGGGGACTGTTTTCTTTGCAGGACGAGAGCTTCCGGTTGGAGCACAACGCTGCGGGCCTGGTGGGGATGTGCAGCAGTGGGCCCAACACCAACGGCTCCCATTTCTACATCACCTTGGGCGCGCTGCCAGAATACAACGGAAAGGTGCGTTTTGGGTCGGGCGATGATACTCCACAGCGACCTTACAGACCAGTTACTTCAGATCCATCATGTCATGTCATCGGATTCTCGCAGAGCATTGTCAGATCGCAACTTTCGCTTTGCCTTTCGTTACTATCTCGTTTCCCTGTAGGAGGCGCTTCACGCAGCGAACGCGATGATGCGTGTGCCCCGCTGCTGGTGCTTGGTTGTAATTGTAGTGAGACGATAATGAATTTCCAATTTATGAAGCTCACTTAACAAGGAAGCGCCTGCGAGGCACTTTCTGCGAGGCATTCCCATGCTCACATTGAAGTGGCTCCGCGACCACCTCATGCCTGTGAGCCAGACAGCCACTTTCAGACCAAGAAAATTGTTTCAGGGATGTGGTACAATTCAGCACAGTAAATTACTAACCCCAATGCCGTTTTTGCCCAATCTCTGTGCGCTTGAACCTCTCGCTCGCTGAAGCTCGCTTCATGACTCCAACGCGGTTGGCCAGAGCGTCGTCTTCGGCCGCGTGGAGCGCGGCATGGATGTGGTCCGGCGCATCGAGAGCTGCGGCTCGGCCATCGGCGAGCCGAAAAGCCAAATCGTCATATCCGACTGCGGAGAGGTCCAGGAATCCGAGCTGGAGGGCCTGGAGCGGGAGGAGCGGAAGCGGAGGATACTCGCGCCCCTGGGGGAGGAAGGCGCAGAGGCAGATGAAGAGTAGGTGGCGGGGGCCGGTCGGAGACGGACATCATGCCGCTTTCATCTTTGATTCCAAACGCTGCAGGAGACGAGAGTGCGGCAAAGAAGAGGGGCTTAGCCCGCTTTTGTTTTTCGATTCCGAAATGCTGCAGAAGACAAAAATGCTGCAGGGGGGGGCTTTGATCCGGTTCTGATCAGCGCTGTTGGAACGTCGGCGAACCACGGCGGCAGTGCGAAGAGGGGTTTGATGACTGGACGACGGGTGCTGGGGCCGGCAGCGACGAGGAAAGAGGCCTAACGCCACCAGATGCTGGCCCCCCCATAGACGCGGCCACGACTCAGTCCTGTTCCTAATCGGTTGCCTCGGGCCCCATGATTTGCGATGTGGGAAGAACATGGTCTTGAGCGATTTGTGCGCGGTTGAAGCACAGGACGCAGCAGCTTGAAATGGGCAGGGGCGGCGCAGTGGCGGGTGCAGAATAGCGGACGGGGTATGCAGGGGCGGCTGATGTTGATGGAATTTTGATCACCCTCAGCACGGCATGACTCTCCGCTATGGACTAAGGGGACTAAGGGGTTGATGGACGTTGATGGGAAGTCTTCAAATTGGCACAGAAAGGGAGGTTTTTAATTGCAATAATCAGAATGACTGTTACCGCCTTGCGGGTGCCTGGGCCGATCAGTCAACGACCAGAAAAGCGGTCGAATGGTCTGCACATGCTGCACGGCCTCCGTGGAAGGCGCCACCTTTGCAACATGCCTTCCTGAGTGCCTGCAAGCTGTCCTGAAAATGTTCGTGAGTATCACAGAGCCACAGAAATAGATGGCACGGGATCGTAGGCTTCGTGTTGGAAGACACGACGTCGCTGCAATGTCTGTCTCCCTTTGGATTTGCAACGGCGATCGCGGTCTCCATGGGGCTAAAGCGGGCACATGATAGGACAGTACAAGTGCCCGTCTTTCCCTTGTGTGTGAGAGCCGAGCCAGTCAACCTGGCTGTCGCTCGGCAGGAGATGCCCCATGCATGGTGGCAGTGGCGCCAGCCATTTCAATGTGAAAGGCGCTCTCCAGAGTTTACATTTGTGCCAATGGTTGTGGTCTGCGGACTGCGTCCTCGTGTCACCAGTCACAAGCAAGACGACGGAAGCTCCTCCCAGATTGTGAGGTTTGTTTTCTGCCCACAGCGCCGCAGGTGCTGCGACACCGTTTGATATTCAGCAGACCTAGGATAGGGATCATGAAGGATTGCGCTCGGATTCCGACAGGTTGCAATTGGAGTCTCAATGGAGGGAGGTTCGATGAAAAGCAGCATCGAGCGATGCACACAACAATCAAACGAATTAAACAAAAAAGTTCTTGTTGACAAAATTCCAACAGCCCGCTGGTGGCCGGGTCCATTCAGAGTGGTTCTCGCGTGGCTATCAGCTGGAAGGACTTGACCACAGTCTTCAGGGCGTCCTCCATCTTGCTCCACCGCCTCTGACTGGCGCCAGTCGCCAGAGTGTAAAATCGTCCATTCCCAACCGCCACCACAGCAAGGGACTTCCTCACATAGTTAACACCATTGACGTCATATTCAAAACTGTAGTAGTTGCGCCCCGCGATCTCACGCTGGGAGGTGGCTTTGAGTGTGGCTGGGGTGCGTGGCCCGGACAGCACCTGGTAGACAGGCCCGATGTTTTCAGCATTACAAATGCCAAAATTGACGATTTCCTTCCCGTGTTACAACTGTTGGATTCACATAGATTGACAGAGTTTGAGGGCCAATTTGGAGCTCAGCTGGCACAGCACAGAGACACAGTGCCTTCCAGTGATTATACTCCATGTTGGCAGATTAACAACAATAGCAACACAGGGACCTTAAACAGTGTGCAATATTTTGGAGCCAAAACGAAAGCATGGGTATAGAACACCAAAATGGCATGTCTCAACATGTCTCCATGTATCACGTCTCCAATTTGTTGCAGTAAATCTCCAACATTCCAAGAAGTCTTCACAGGATACAGAGCCTGGCATAAAAACCCAGGAATGAGGCCAGCATCATTCACCCAAAATAAGGCCATCATGTGCTGAGTTGTACTGATGTGGAAGTATGGAAATGGTCAAGTTACAAGTCTTTGTGACATACCACACAGCTGACATACACGTGCACAACCCAAGGCTTCCTGCTCGGAGACCTCCTTCAGCACCTGTCTCAATCTCAAGTCTTGATGCTTTTCAGGGTTGCCGTTGCCTCCCTCACACACTGCATTCTCAATTATCCACAAATGAAATGCATGCCCAGGTTGTTGAATGCAAAATTGGATACTTTGTTGGATCGAGGGTGTTCTGGGGACAGCAACGATGTTGGGGTCCGGACATGCCTACGCAATTTTGTATCGTTTGGTGCCTGATAGCTCAATAATGCGGCATGTGCCTTTGAAATTCTCGATACGGAGTGTTCAGATCATTGGATCAGTTCAGATGCATTTCATTCTCTGAACGAGTTCTTCTCCAGTGGTTTTGGCTGCATTGCCATAAGCTAGCGTAGGGTGCTGTCCCAAACTTACAGCGTGACTACTGCGATTGCTGATGTATCGAAACACGAATTCGACACACACACCTTGAGACCGATATTGTGCCCATGTTCGGCTGTTGAACTGAACATGGGGAATCGGGTCTGTTCGATACACACAGCACACAGAGGGCACGCCTGTGGGCAAATGTCTCGGCGCTTTGACGTTTCGGGGTGCTCGAAACCGCAACAGCCGTTGCTGGATTCGCACCATCCGGCTCATTGCAAACGTCAGGTTTTCACACCAGCAAATTCTCCAGGAAAGCGGGCAGCGATGCGCGTCAGTCGCAGAGAACATGGGGCGCTCAAGATCAGCGCCAGGCGCTGGCTGCAACGGCTTTGCGTCGCTGCCCGAGTCCTCCCAAGGCTGTTACGGTGTTACGGCTTTACGTGTTTTGGAAAGTGTATCCAAATATGTCTTCCGTGCTACCCTGCACAGTAGTTTGCTCTGTCCTTGGCGATGACTTGCTTTTGTGGTTGAATGTATTTTCCCATTAGCAAGGTGCTGGGAGAATAGAGATGCCCAAGATTGCTGATCACAAAGCACCTGTGCTTTTGTTGCCAAGAAGCAGTGATATGCCGTAAAGCATTGAGAATCCATTCCACTTTGCGTCTCTGCTGCAATTGAGTGCAGATTGCTGCTGAAGAATATCCAAAACCATCGTTTGAACATCACAAAGGCAATATGCTTACGGCCCTTACGGAGCTACGTCCTCCCAAGGCGATCCCGACGCGCCGCGCCGAGCACCACCCCGGCGCCCACCTTGCTTTGTTCTACAAATTTCTGGCCGCCCCTTGGGATGAACAGCTGCGCTCGCGAGCAAACAAAGTGGGGTCGAACAAAACAATGTGCGCGGGACCATTGCGCGTCGTCGCCAGTTTATGTTGCAAGGGCCTTTCGACAAATGCGACCACGAAGGATGGACCCACCTTGCTGACCAGCGTCTCCGCCACTTCCTCCGCCGACCCGAAATCCGTGATGTCGCCCTTGTCCGTGGCCACCACGCTCACGCTGACGCTCTCCAGGGGCTCTATGATGTCCTTGTACACCGCGTCCTGCCCGTCCACCACCACCTCCTGCCAGCCGAACGGGTACAAAAACTGGTACCCGTCGTTCAGATCCCTCACGGGATTGAACCCCTTGGGCAGCTTGACAGCGTCGTCGGCGGCCGCGGGGCCGCCCACGGCCGCCAGGCCGATCGACCCCGCGAGGGCGGCGGCGGACGATTCAATGATCTGCCGCCGGGTGGGGGGGGGATCGGGTTGATCGGATCGGAGGGAGGAGGGGGGCGATGATGCGGCCCGGGTGAGCATGCGGGTGCGCGGGGGGACGGGTGGGCGGGCGGCGCCGGGCGCGGCGCCCGCGGCGTGGCGCTGGAGCATGGTGGAGAGCGGTGGGGGGGAGATGCGGGAACGCGAGGTGGAGGGGGTGGGAGTGGGTATCGGCGGGGCGCAACGGCTGGATGTTGGATCATGGAATGGGTTTGGCCATTTTGGGAGGCATCGGGTCCCTGTGTGTGCGCGTCATCGCCTGCAGGGTGGGAGAATACTAGTACATTAGTCCCTGTGTCGTCACAGGGCCCAGGCAGGATCGTGAAGGCAAAAGCTGCACAGGTTCTGTGTTCACTGGAAACATGTCAATTGCTGCTTGCACAGCTTCATGCGCGTTTCCGATGAGCTTCCTAAGCAATGAGCCTCGCACTAGAGGTAGGCATAATTTCCATGGGCCCGTCCACGCGCTTGGCATCACCTGTCCCATGCTTTGTTCGGTGTGTGCGCCATACAGCATGCTGCGTGTTCCGCAAAGCTGTTGTTGAAGCTCACTAGGAAGATATCTATTCTAGTTAAGGAAAACTCTCCCTCACAAGCCTTTGAACACATATCCCAATGGGATCGTGGTTCTGATGCTCGTTGGTCGAGGGTCAAATCCAAAGAGATGCTGGTGAGGTTTCGCAAAATTCACAGGGTATCCACTCCCCTACTCGGAGGCAGAGACAGCATTCCCGATGGCGCGTTGGGTCCCCAGCGCTGAGTCTGAGGCTAGCGTCATTTTGAAATATAAGCGGAACAAACTCATAGCGCATCTCCCAGCCGCTCCCCATGTTCTGACTATTCCTGTTAGGCAACATGCTTTAAAACCAAAAACAGTACAATTCTTCACTGGTGCTGTTGGGGGACTCGAGATTCTCCTTCTCCATCCCTCCCCTTCCTTGCCTGCAACAATGGCGAGAATTATGCCACACAGCCTAAATCGTACTCATCGACATATTATGACAAACTGAATGTTACAAGCATCGAGGGCGACAATGTCAGGCTGCGTTCCCGACGTGTGCGCTCCCTTCACCCCGAATGAAGATGAAAACAGAACCTATGACGGTGATCCCAAACTGCGTCCCCCCAAAGCTGCCGTCCATGAGAAAAACTCGAGCAGCACAGGCGGGGGGGGGCGCACTTGAACAAGGACAGCCACGAAGCGCATTCGCCCAGACGCGCCATCCAGCACGCGCCACAGACACTAAAAGCCCTGGTATTACAACAGGCGAAATTAACTGCCCACAATTTCGGACCAGTCGAGTAAATGGAAGCCCCCTCCCTGCGCAAGAATAAAAGAATGCAAAATCGCCCGGCCGCTGGCCGCTGGCCGCCGGTCCGCGTCAGGCGACCCTGAGGAGCCCCAGCGGCAGCTCTGTCAGAGCCAGCGAGTTCCCGCCGGGCCCATGGCTCAGGCGCGGTCAATGAAGTCAACCCCATCCCAATGCCACAAATTCCCAGCGATGGCAGAGCCCGCCGGCGGTTTACCGAGGCCCGGTTGTCCAGTCGCTGGCCCGCGGCCCAGGCATGAGACCGTCCAGCGCGCCTGCAGGCCAGCAGCAGGGTTTGGCGGGATCAGACTTGCCGGCCCCCCGTGCGCCGGTCTAAACACCACCCAAGAAATGGAAAATGCAATCCGGTCATTCAACACACGGGCCAGGAACAAGGCCCCACTGTGCGTCAAGCAGAAGGCCTGCCGCGGGCCAGGCACAGGGCCCTATCCGCTGACGTCACTGGTCCTTGTTCAGCCGTTCGATGACGTACGCCATGAGGTCTTCCTTCACTGTGAGCGAGAACTCCAGGTGGCTGTAGTCGAACTCCTTGTAGGTGACCTCCACGCCCGCGTCAAGCATGCTCTGCATGTGCATTCGGATGTTGTAGGTGGGCACCACGCCGTCCTTGGTGCCGGCCACCAGGTCCACGGGCACGTCTATGCGCCCGTACTCGGCCGCGACGTCCACGGGCTCAGGCGTTCCATATTGGCGCACATTCTCGTCTGGGCTGCCGTAGTCGTACATGCGGAAGCGGCCCGTCCTCACCAACTGGATGAGGTGGAGGGCTGTGTGCATGGAGATGCCAGGCATCGAGTGCACCCCGAAATGCGGAATCTGCAGCACAGATTCAGGGGTTTTACACGTATTCTCGTGTGGAACTTTGCTTTGAGTACATGACATCGACGTGGAGACTGTTTTGATGCCAATTGTGGCATTTCGTACAGGACATTGTCTCCACCATTGCCTTGAAGTGCCAAGGCAGTGCTCTTGTACTTGGCAAATGTGTTGAGACAATTGGCATGGCTGCATCCTGGTTCTATTTGACTGACTCGTATTGGCTGGCAGAATCGAGATGGACATCATGGAGACAACATCTGGGTCATTCAGTTGCTGGGTTACGATCACCATCGTCTTCATGGGAAAATCTTGCTATTGTGAGTAGCGTATACTTTGTTATAAATCAAAACAACTTCGAATATTGAATCATAGGATGGACGCATCTTTGTTGCGCCCCATTCAGAAGGTGGGACTCAAAGAGTGGAGACATGTGAAGGCCAGGTCACTGGAAAGAGACACAAGACTGTGCAAGTACACACATAAACACATGTAAAAACACAGGCCTGTGTCTACGCGTGATGTTCGCAATCTCTGCGATCCAAACACTTGGAAATCAAAAATGAAGCATCCATCGACAATCTGACAACGCACCTGCATGGCGGCCTCCCAGGGACTGGAGTCCCCACCAAGAATGAGCCGGATTACCCGATTGACGATCGCTGCAAGGGCCGGGAACCGCAGGGCATCCTGTAGTGCCTTGAAGATCACCAGGCGGCCATGCTGGGTGGGAATGTGCACCGCTGCGCCCGGCCGCCCCAACACCCGTGTCCACAGCCACGCCAGCGGCGGCAGGGACCACATGAAGGGGTAGGCCAGGAGCGGGATGCGGTGGTGGAAGCCCGCAGGGGACAGGAGGATCAGGCGGCTCAGGTTGTGGCTGCGCCCGGAGCGCAGGGCCATCACCAGGTGCACCAGCAGCGATGCGCCGCCCAGGCTGTGGCCCACCGCCCTCAGGGTGTAGGGCATCTCCTTTGGCCCGCTCCAACGCGCCATCGCCGCCTCCCCCTCTTCCCAACATTTGCCCCCACCACTGGCCAGGACACATGCGGTCCCCTTGCCCTCCGCCTCCCGCCCCCCCATCCCCGGCTCACCCCCTTCCCGGTCTTCCAGTGCCCAAGTGACCCCCTTCCCCCTTCGCCTCACCAGCCCGTCGACCCGCCTCGATTTGCCGCCGCAGTCCACCCTCCCCCTTGCGCTGTCGGGCGCCCTCCCGGCCAATCCCTTTCCCCCTTCTGGAACCCCGCCCGAGCTGCCAGGCCCCCCGCCCCCTTCTCCTTCCCCCTCCCCCACCAGAGCCGCCAGCTGCCCGTCGCTGTTCACCCTCCGCGACCTTTTGACCCCTCCAGGCCGCCCTTCCTCGGATTCATCCGCCCCATGCGCCCTGGGTGTCAGCCTGAAGTCCACCGACTGACGCTGCATCCCGTACTCTGCCCTCCATCGACGGAGTTCCTCCTCTGCGTCGCCCAGCTCCGCACACTTCAGGTTGTGGATGAACTCCAACTGGGAGCCCACATCGTACAGGCCCAACTCGTTCAGTGTGTAGCCCCAGTACTTCGTGCCGCGCTCCACCCTTGGGTCGGCATGCCGCCGGGGGGGGTTGGCCCGGCTGTTGCCCAGCCACACGTCAAAGCCCTGGTCGAATGCCGAGAAGGCGAAGGAGCCGGTCACACCGTTGAGCACCCAGCCCAGGGAGGTGTCCATGATGCCGTGCTGGAAGAAGACGGCCTTGCGCGACTTGCGCTGGGGCAGTCGCTGCAGGTGGAGAATGTAGCCGTCCTGGGTGGTGACCTTGTGCTCCTGGAGGGGGTAGCCCGCGTTGCGGATGACGTGGGCGGCGGTGATGGGCGTCTCCGGCAGGGCGTCCATGCGGCCCCACAGGGAGCGGGAGCGCTTGAGGTGGGGCCGGGGCCCGCCGGTGCGGGGGCTCTTGTAGGACAGGGCGTCACTCAGCTGTGGATGGGAGGTCACAGGTAGTTGGGATAGGCAGCAAAGACCGATTATTTGCGTTTGCCAAAAGAGCGGTGGCAAGCAATGTCTTGCAGGAGATTGGAGATGGGGAAGCAGCAGATCAACAGCTCCCCAATGCCAGACCACTCACCACCCAGTTGGAGAAACGGTCCGAGGCCAGTGAGTTGGTTCAGTGGCAGTGGGAGAACATTCCACACAGAGGAGCGGGTGACAACGATGCCTGGGTGGGGTAGGGGAAACTAGGAGAACATTGCCTGTGAAGAAGGGGCCAATGCACTGCTCAGGCAATGCCTGTGCAGGGAGGTGACATGAACACAAAATGCCACAAAGTGAAGAGGGCAAGTTGGGGAGTTGGGGCAGAAGGAAGTTTTGTTGCATGCAAGGGTCTGACGCAGGGTATTCTTCGGGTGAACTGACAGGCAGACAGCCACTAAATATTTGGAATGCGGGCACCCAACATCTCTGCGCTGAGTGCTAACCCTATGCATCGTCTGTTGCATGGAGAAGAGTCTCATGGGGTTTTTTCCCAACACAGCAGTGGACATAGCAGGGCGTGTTGCAATTCTGCTGAAATTAACAATGTGATAGCCCAAAACAGAGCGTGGAGTGGTAAATCATTCTGTGCACGTTCATATCACTGTGTTGACACTGGAATTGTGGTGGTGACCATACTTATCCATGCACAACAATAATGAAACATATTCAGTGAAAAAGAATCCACATGTGGTGGTGCCTCACCCCTCGTCCTGCGCTCATGCAGCGGACCAGGTCGGGCCTTGGAGATGGTGCTGCCATCGCAATCGGGGGAGGCAACATGAGCAGCCACCTCACAGCACGGCGGATAAGGTCAAAGAATGCGCTTATGTACAACTCTGAGCCTATCTGAAGGTCCTCCACCCAGCCACGCCGTCGGACGCCTCTCAGGGAGAAATTGATGCCTGGGGTGTAGCACAAAGCACATTCAACCAGGTGGCTGTCTCAAATGGCACCAACAACGATGGCAGTCGACACCGTCACCGCCAACAAACTCCTGGAACGATCACCTGGAAGTTGTTGTGCCATCTCGCCTTGGGTTAGAAGAACAGCGCTCTGTCGCATTTTGACAAATGCAACATACAGCGCAGCAGTGTTACCATCTGATGTGCGAACTGCATAGTGTGGTCATGCTACAAATGTTACCATCTGATGTGCGGACCGCACAGTGCGGTCATGCTACAAATGTTACCGTCCCAGCAAACTGGACATGACCCATTCCAATACGCGCACCTCCACCCAAGGCCAACAGCATCACCTCCACAAAGAACGAATGAATGATGTTCTGTCACTGATCAACTTCATATGAAAGGCAGAAAGGGGCAGCCAGCCCTGTGGTGAGGACTTCCCCAATGTCAGTGCCACGCACCATGGTTCCCATCAAACAGTGAGGCGAAGGAGCGCAGCGGCTGGGCCCTTGCGGCTGAGGTACGGCGTCCCTTGGGGCCCCACAACCAGGAGGGCCAAAACCTTGACCAAGTCGATTGGCTTTGGTTAGAACGGCCGGATCTCCCAGCCTTTTGGTCAGGTTCGATGCCTGCAGCAGCCAGAGCAATAAACTCAGCACAATACCCAAGGGGTAAATCGTAACAAAGTCAAAGCATCTTGTGTGGAGCAGCTAAAAAAAGGCCTGTTGACTCAAGGTGGGCAGTGTGCTGACGAGTAGGGACCATATTGCAGCCACTGGAGATACTTGTGGGGGAGATGGTCAGGCCTGGAATTCGCATCTCGGGGTCAAAAGGTATTGAAGTTCAACTTTCTGCAATCGTCGTCTCTTCAGCAGAACCATAAGCCCCACAACAAACTACAGCAGCAATTACAGCTTCAGCAAAAAGACTGCTGCATCAACATAAGGCCCATCCCTCAACAAGAGCTTGAAACCAGAAACAGCACACACACAGGCCCAAAGCATGAAATCCAAATGATGATGAGCAGATGAATTCTATCCGCCAGGCATTCATCCTTTGCAACTCCTCTGAGCCACTGTTAAGGCGGAAAGGATGTGGAATGCTGCAGAAAAGCACCCCAGACTCAACCAACTCGTGAGAGCAAGCCCTCAAAATAAGGAATCATGTCATCCAAGCAGCGGAGATGCCATCAACGGAACAAAATCGAATACATAAATGCAATAAAAGAAGAATTACCCTTGTTAACTGCCAAGATCGGACTAGTGCTTCCCATCACAACTTTCCGCTGTCCCCAATCAACAGGTGAAATGCAAGCACAAAAGTCTTCACGTGCAAATTGCCAATTTGTACATGGCCCCACAAGCATGCTTGCAAAGAGTGCTCCTTCGCCCTTCCTTTTGGAATGGAATTGTGGACAGGGCAAGCCATTCGAAGCCAGGTTGTAGTCCTTCACTCCAGAGAATTTCGCTCGGCATCCACACAAACAGTCTGTGGCGCAGCAGTGCGCTGACTCTCCCTTTGGCAAGTCTTGTTCAGCACATCACCTTCTCGAATCGATGTTGCAACAACTGAGCCTCTCATAAAACAGCTGATGCCATTTCCCCATGACCCACCTCATCGTGCCCACGAACAATCACAGTCCAAACACCATCCTCTCCCGCTGTCTCATTCTTGCCCACCATGAAAGTGCTGGATATCCTGATAGTGTAACGCAATATAGGCCAAAATCTACTGGTTCCAAAGCAAATCCTCAGGTGCACACACCATCACTGCAGCGAATGGAGATAGCCTGGCTGCCATTGAAGCAGTCCTTTGACTGGCAGCAGCTGCCACACACCTGGTCAGCAATCATGCAGAATCGACCCAACTGTTGCCTCCTCTGCCACGGCCCCTCCCATCAGCCTCCTCTTCCTTGCTACGGTTTTCCCACCCACCCACCTGTACCATCATGGGACAAAGGAAGAACACTTTCCACTATTGATATTCCATTCAACGCGATCACCACCAACTGCTTCAACGCGTTCAGCGTGCTCTGCATCACACCATCGTCGAGAACCGGGCTCCTGCCACGGCGCGTCCGCCCAAACGCGGCGACCCGATGCCCCTGTCACCTCGCCCCGAACAATCTCTCCAACAGTCGCCACACCAACCCCAGCCCATGTCCGCACTCCGCCGCCCGCAAACCTCCGCGTCGCAATCATCGCGACAAGCACCAGAGAGCCTCAAGCCGTTCTCCCCCGGCGGGAACGGCCCAACCCCCCTCCCCACGAAGAACAAGCCGTGCCAACAAGTGTAAAAATGTCGCGCCTCACCTCTGCCGTTTCCGCCCGAGTGGTCACGCTCGATCAGCCAGTTGAACGTGCTCGGCCTCCAGCTCTCCCATCCCGCGGCCTCCGCCCCTCCCGCCCTCCCCCTCCGGCCCTTCCCCCCCCACTCCCGGTCCACCAACGACACCAGCAGCGTGAAGAAGCCGTTCGCCAGCCGGCCGGCGCCGTGGATCACCTCCCTCAGCAGCGACTTCGACGTCTCCTCGAACCATGCCACCGTGGTGTCCACGGCGTACTCCGCCGAGGGATTGTAAACCCGCCGGCGCCACCAGCCCAGCGCCCACACCGCCGCGCCGCGCGTGCCGGACCACAGGTCGATGATCAGCGGCACCAGGCCGGCCACCCAGGCGCCTATGGGGCCGGGCATAGCGCGCGAGGCCCCCTGGGCGATCGTCGGCGCCGATCGCGGGCGAGATTTGGGGATGCGGCGTCGGGGGGTGTGGCCGGGGGGGGCTGTGTTGCGGGGGAGGGGCAGGGAGGGAGGTGGGTTGGGCGCAGGGCTGGGGCCGCCGCGGGCGTCGTCAGGCGCGGAGATGCGGGCGCCGCCTGACGGCATCAGGAAATCGGGCGCGTCCTCGTCAACGGGGTCCACCTCCAGGTCATCGTCCTTGGGGCCAAATTCCGATGTGGGCTGCGGCGCAGGCGGGCGGGGGGTGAGATTTGTTGGGAGAGGCAGGGTACACAACGCGGCACGCTCCCAAGCAAATGTCTGCGAGACTCTTTTCCAAGCCAATCAACTCTTTTCGACATCGCGACGCCAAAGCATTTTTTGCTGGAGTTCCCCCTCGCCGACTGGCCAAGACACTTCTTTGGATGTGCAATCATCCACAAACGTTTCTTGGCATTAGGAATTCATAGACACCTAGGTTCTGTGTTTCATACACTACATTTTAACGAGCTTATCGTAGACACCGCTCTGCTCGGGCAAAGTAGGAAGCTGACGGCTACCTCGCTGCCTTGTTATGTAAAGTTGATGATGATGATGATCACTCTTTTCCATGCTGTGAGAAGATGACAGAGGCGGGTGGGTAGTTGTGTGAGCGAAGGTCGGGTTGAGGGTGCATACTGGAAAAACTGGAGAAACGGGAGGAACTGGGGAACTGGAGAAACTTGAAACTGGGAAAGTGGCAAAACTGGAAAACAGGTTGGGTTGTGTAATTCTTCTTCGGAAACTTTTCGCAGACTGCTTTGTGCGTTTTTTCCATGTGTGTTTTGTTCTGTTGGGCGGCCTGGTGCACTGACATTGGAGAGCCTTTTCCGTGGTGCAAGGAGCCCATCGTGTAGAACAGAGTGAAGGCAAACTCAACCTAAGCCCTCTGTTTTCCACCAGGGCCTGTGGAAAAAAAGCCTTCTGACAACGAAGCGCATTGCGACTCGACTGGCGAATGCAAGACTACTCACTGATTGATGCGGGCTGTCCCATCCTGGAAGTGTGCTGTGCTTGTCCGCTAACAGCTGGGCCTTAAGTTCTCGCTTCTCCTCCTGGCAACAGAGGATTGGGTCAGCCTCACCAGCAACATCCTGTGGATCATTTTGACTTCAGCCACTGCAAGCTCTGACAGGCGCCACCAGGGCGGACCACCTTGCATCGCACTTGAAACGCAGTGTTGAGCCATGCACTATTGTCCACATGGCCGAAGCACAGGAGCAACAGATGCATGGCCTCTAGTTTGAGAATCACTTTCCCACTGGAATCAACAATTCAATTTCACCATCCAAACCATACTGCTGAATCTTTAATTTGAGATGATATTTCTGCCGGCAACTCTACTCATAATTATTTTCATTGAATTTAATGTAAGACACACTCCCCATAAAAGGAAGCCTAATACCATCAATCTAAAATTTAATGTTCTGAATTTGAATGGTTGAACAGTTTATGCGATGTTGCCATATAAAGGCGAGGTCGGCAGGAGACCCTGCACCTCCAGGGCCTTGACATAGGACAGTAGCCTGCGCTTGTTCTCCCCCTCCTTGCGCATATAGTTCACATAGAACTTGTGCTGCTCCATGAGCACCTCCTCCACGAGCTCGGGCGTCATGCGGCCGCCCTCAAGGTGCTGCCGCACTGCTGGCAGTGTTGCGTCCTCGAACGATCTTGAAGTCTGCCTGCCATGGTGCAATGGGAGCGAAGTGTCAGTTTCTGAAGTTGTTCACCAAGGGAGAAACAATATATGAATGGTGCAGTCTTCTGCTGTAGCTGTGGGCCCTTTAGCAGTGCATGCGTGGCTTGGGGTGGGCTGCATGTCAAAGATATTATGATTTTGGAGAGGGCTACAGCACTGATGGGATGCTGTAAGAAGTGTCCATTTCACACGAACGTTTTTTGACCTTGCATGAAAATACATTGCCGAAACCACGAGGCAGCATTGTGCCATTCGATTCAGGGACGGCCAACTCGTGCAAGGCAACCAGGTTCTGTGGGAACTTATCAACAGGAACCATGCTTGCAAGTCAGCGACAAGCGCCTGTTTGGGCAAACAATTCATCCACCCAATTCTTAACTGTGTAATTCCAAACCTTCGTTAATCAACATTCAACAAACTGCATCCACCTAGACCACACTTTTTGGTGCCACTCTTTGGTACCACTAGGTGGCCAAAGTTGCCAGGAGGTGAGGTTAGAGACTGCAGACACAGCTGAGGCTTTCTTGCAGGGGATAGGATGCAAAAATCCATTCATTGTGGTGCCCACAAGCACAATTGTTTTGTTGGACAATGTTCAGAAGATCCGTGGGAAAGACCTACAAGTTGGCATACAACTTCTTTGACGAAATGGAGGGCAGTAGAAAGCGGAGCTGCAAAGCACCAGCTGGCCAGTTCCAAACACCACCGTCAATTGGGGGCAGCCCGCAATTCCATCAACTGAGATGCCTTTGCGCCAAGCCCACTCAGCAGTGTTCCTATCCCTGCGGCCCCTCCATATGCGATGAATAAAGAACGATGTTGGGGGCCGCCGGTAGAGCACATTGCCCAAGAATGCAGCCCTTCAAACGTGCCGACAAGAACTCAACATGCGAAAATGCTAATCTGCTATGGCACCAAAAACGAGCTCTCACGGTTTCCTGAAAGATGGCGGAAGGCCCACAGCTCTTGCGTCAGTGTGGGGGGTAATGTATGCAGTACATTCTTGGGTACATAAGAACAAGCTTGGGTCGCACCCACTGCTGCTGGGTGAGTCACCAGTGTGCTCCACAGAGAAGAGGTAACTTCCATCAGTACTTGACCACCGTTCCTGACAACCACAAACCGCCTCAACTGGGATTCTATGACAATAACGTCCTGACAAACAAGGATTAGGCTACTTGTGTAACAGAGACAAATCACAGGCTCTTGGGCCATTGGGGCCAAGGCATGTGCTGGCAGCCATGCGCTGTTTGCCCCATCACAGGTGGGCAACTCAACTGAAATGTGGCGACAATTCCCATGCCATAAAATGGCAGAAAGGACCACAAGTCAGGGATCACTTCATTGACGCATCACATATCCCAAAACAGCTTGCGCACAAGAATGGCCTGCCATCAACTCTGGTTGGCAACATTAGCAGAAACAAGTGCTGACTGCGTTACAGCAGGCAATGTTCTGCAGCATGCACTGTACAGTGAAAGCCCTGACTGCAACAATGGAAGCTGCTGCCTCTGATAGAACTGGAGCTCTGACACCAACTCAGCTGAAGCCAATTGAGCCAGAACACAAGATTCTATCAATCGAACAACCAGGTCAGAAGAGATGCAACGAAACTCTTAGTCCGGTGAGCTCGTAGGGTGGGGCCTAACATTTACTGCAGGAGAATATGGAGTGCACTTAGATTTGACAAGAAAAACAACTAGAGGCAGCGTACATTTTATGGTGCATTTATCTGCTGCAGAGACAGATGACAAGACTGATGTGGCTTGCCACAATGTTTGCATGGATGCATTCGTTCATTACTCCCAGACCAGCAGCATTTATCCCGCACTGACAGCTGGTACCAAGGCAGATTTCCTCCAGTCCTGCAGCGAAGCAGGAGTTTCTGGATCACAAAATGGCCTACCTTCGATTGCATGATAGTTGACAACCACGCATCCCTGTCTGCCCTGTCCACAAGAAACCCCATGTGTGAACCCAGAGCCCAAAGTTTCAGTGCTCCATATCCCTGTACCTAGGGTACAAGAGTCCCACAGCCTTGAAGAGCACTCAACCCTTCTTCCAGGCAGTGTGACCAGGTCATGGCCTTTGCATCAGGCCAGGGGCGAGAACATGGAACAACGTCCACAGAAATTTGCTGGCGCTTGCACCAGCAGCATCCAATCATTGCTGCAGGCCTATTGCTGACAGCTGTGAAACAATGTGCTCGCTACGTGGTTTGTGCACCTTGGACCCCAACACAAGCCCCTACTCCGCCAGATTAGCTTGCAGCTTTCCGCAGAGAGCTCGCCGGCTTGTGCAGCGAACGGCATCCGATTACGGCTGCAGCATCCTTGCTGACAGCGAAGTCCACTCAGTGCACTCCCAAAACCAAACAGCTAAAGCATAAGCAAACCACAGACAGCGGTCATCCTAATCACTTTTTTCACATAACAAAGCAATGAGGTAGCCGTCAGCTTTCTATTTTGGCCGGGCGAAGCAGTGTCTATGACCAGCTCTCGAAAATCTAATGTATAACACAACCAAAGACAGCAGTCAACATTCATCCCAACAGCGCCAGTATAGCGCCGCATTAACGCCGCAGCGGCGTCTGTGCACTGTCGTCGACTCCGCACTCGCCAAGGGCTCACTCTGACTCCGCCCTGCACTTAATCTTCCTCGTGCCGCTGTGAATCGAGAACCTCTTCCCGTCCCCGCGCCGCGACTCTCGGACTTGCGCGACCTGCGCACAGAAGCAGGCGCCAGGCGCGTCAGCGCGCCCCCTCGCCACGCCGGAACCCCACCCCATCCCACGCTTCTCACTTCCAAGGGGGTAAAAGTTGCGTCAATATGTGATCGCAAAATGCCACGGCATACAAAGGATCACCCCTGTGAGTGCTCGTGAGTGTGTGTGAGCGGGTGGGTGGGGTGTGACAGGGGGCCGTTCCCACCCCAATGGGCCTCGCGGAGAAGAGGTCGCGTCAAATTGATCGCGCGGAGACACGATGGTGCGATGCATTTAGCGCTGTTTCCATGGTTGCCCTGGACCGGCCAGGCGCCGATCGCAGCCCCGTCCCGGCATCTGCCTTCTGGCTTCAAGTGGTTGCTGCGGCCTTCCCACTTCCCACCCCCTGCCTTCCCGTTCGGACTCAGACGTTCGCGGACGCCGCGTTCCGGAAATTCTGCACGCGGCCGCGTGCCCCGCATCGCATCGCTGCTGCGCCCGTGCTGCGTCGCTGCTCGGCAAATGCAGTCGGTGGTCTCAGGCCTCCCCCGCCACCTCACCTCCCGGGGAGCATGGCGCTGCTCCTGTATTCTCCGTGCAAGATAAGAAGTGCATTGCACCGCGCAAGGCGAGCACAACTGGTGTCCCAGGAGTTCTTGTTCACCCGAGGGACACCGCGTCCAACGCCGTTCGGGGCCGCGGTGTCCCAATGGGAACGCCAGCGGTACTCCGCTCCGCGCAAAGATTTCGACTTCATTCGATTTCCATTCCACTCGCGCTCGCTTTGACCGGCCTCACCTGCAGGTGCACCTCCCCCTGCGGATGGTTCGCCTGGCCCGAGGGCGTCGCGCTGCAAGGCAACGGCCCCAAAGTCAGGCGTGCGTCCGGGGCGTCTCACACAGCCTAGAACGAATCCCACAACTGCACGGAAAGGCAATCACGAGCCCACGACACCGCGGTGGACCGCCACTGCGTGAAAGGGAAGGGACGCGCCAGTGCGCCGGGCGTCCGGCGCCCGAGGCGCAGCGATCGACGCCCCTTTCGTCCACGGAGGAGAATACTGAAGTCCACGAGAGAGGGCGAATCGAAAACACAACCAAAACTCAACCCCCCAGTCCTCCCTTCGGCAATGTGTGGTGGACAACGGGCCCGCGCGGACGTTCCAAATTCGCCGACCGACAACGTCCAAAGCCCAGGATCCGCCATCGGCGGAAGATCCGTCCACGAGCGAGCCCGTGGGGCCCAGATCCGTCCCCCCCGCACCTGCCGCCGCCCCGCTGCAGACTGACAAGGTCCGGGCCGATCACCCTGACCCCTCCGGCTCCGCCCAGCTCCTCCGCCAGGCCGCGCACGTCCAGCGAGGGGTCCACCTGGGCAAACCATTCCTCCTCAACCCGCGGGCCAGAAAACACGTCCAAACTTCCCCTCGTGCAGCCCGCGAACAGTAAAAATACGTCCGAAATTCCCCCCCCCCCGGCCGTCGGAGGCCAAGCCCTCGCGGCACGCCCCTCCCGCGCGCCAAGGGGCCCCGAGCGCCAGTCCACGCATCTTGCCGCCGACAGACCCGCATCGCGGAGCCTGAAATCAATTGCCTCGCCAGGGCTCTCCACCGCTCCGGGCGCACCTTGTAGTACTGCAGCACACCGCGCCGGAGCACGAACATGTGACGCCTCCAGCCCTTGGCGATGTTCACATACTTCTCCAGGCCGCCGACCACCGCCTGCGCACGCGATTCCACCAAGCCGCCCATCGGGCCAACCAAGGTCAGGCGAGGCTAACATTCGCCCCCCCTCCCGCACACCCTTCCCCACGACCTCGGCGACGCGGCCACTGACCCAGAGATTGGTTCTTTGGGCCGGTCACCTCGCAGGCGTCCTGCTGCAGCAGGGGCGATGGGGGTGGCCCCGGCATCTCGAAGGTCTCGGCCCGAGACGGCGGGTTTCGGACCATCTGCACGTGGTGGCTTCGGGCGGGCGGCGTGGCGCGGCCCCGGGCGGCGGCAGCGTCGCTCGGTGGGGGCGGACCGGCTCGGCGGCGTCCATGGGCGCCGTGTGGCGGTGGTTTGGGCGGGGGCTGGGCCAGAGCCACACTAATACTGACAAAATGGAGAAAAATACGGTGCGGGGATTAAGTACGAATGGGCCCTCGGATGGGGTGAACGTGGGGAGAAGGTGCGGGGGTCTGTGGGTTGCACTCCGAAGAGCGGGGCGGTGGTGGGCGGGGCGCTTTGGGGTGTAGTAAGGGAGGGTGGCCGCGGGTGGTGGAGTGCGACGAATCGGTGGTGTTGGTTTGTTGGTGTTCGTCGTGATGCCTTCGGAGGCGTCTGTAGGCCCGCCGGCGTGTTGGGAATTCGGTGTCACGACACGGGGGGGCAACAAGGTAAGACGCGCTCCGCGCGGTTGCTTGGTGCCTGCCCCGGTCCAGTACTTAACGGCGTCGTTGATGCTGCCACTGTTTTCATCTGCATCCTTCCCAAAACGGGCTCCGCACGCTTGGAAGAAAAAAGCGGTGCGGCAAGTCTGTCAGAATTGGATCTGCCGCCCTTGGCC